ATATCAAGAAGTCAAACAAATCGATTGGGGTGATAAATTTTTTGTCATATTGACTGCAACTGGTAGAGCATATATGGCTAGCCGTAAAAAATCTAATTGGAATACCAATCAAAGATTGAAAATGATTTCGAACCATTCTTTTAAAATGATTGCCTGTGGCTTAGATCACATCTTACTATTACGAAGTGATGGTATGCTATTCACCATGGGTGATAATGAATTTGGTCAATTGGGTCAAATTACAGAATCATCATTTAAAACGTTGATTGATACTGGATTGTCAAATGTAGATAGAATTGCATGTGGTTCGGATTATTGTATTGCTATGATAGGTCGTGATGTGCATTCTTGGGGCCGTAATAACTTTGGACAATTGGGTATCAATCATGTTTCGGATCAATTTATTCCAAGAAAAATTCAGTTTAAACAAATAACCTATAGTCATCGAATTATTGATATTGTTGCTGGAGAATCTTATACTATATTTTTATATGATAATGGAGACGCTTATGAATGTGGTAATCCTGACTGTTTCGAATACAATCAGATTTTTCCAATACGAATCAATATCGATAATGTTGTGGCAATTGGCTATGAAAAATTTGGTGATTTTTTCATATTTTTTACAAAAACCGATCAATGTTTTGTACTGGGACCTTTAAAAACAGTCAAATCGGAGGTACCGAAAATACTCTCTGGCATTAAAACATTCAATGATGCATATTCAATTTACTATACAACACCACGTTCATTTAACCCAATTTTTTTGAATATTCAACAAACACAACAATCTACTATGTTAACAACGTCAGTACCAACGTTAATTCCAAATCAATCTGTCAATATTGATCGTTTTCGATGTTCAATATGTTGCGAACGAGAACTTCAGATTGTTTTTTCACCCTGTCAACATCTTACTTCATGTGAACAATGTTCAATACGTATGAAGAATTGTCCAATTTGTCGAGCTAACATTAATCACCGTTCACGTGTTTATATTCCTTGATTGATTAATTTCTGTGTCCAAATTATTAGCTTTGTTTTTGTTTTTACTTATTGAATTTTCAAATTTAATCAACATAATTAAGTATTAAAATCAAATTTTTAAAAAATATAACACTTGATTCAATGAATTATATTGTTTTTTTATTGTATTTTTTTTTAATTTTGAATAAACTATAAGACAATTTTGTATGATTAAAAAAAATTTAAATTTTAAAAATTAAAACCAAATATTGATCATTGATAGTAACGTCGCTAGATGGCACTTGTTTCGTGGCAATGTAAACCAAAATAAATGAAATCGAATTTGAACTTTAATTTCAATTGATAAAATTTAACAATAAAATAGACATGGCCTGATAAAAAAAGGTGCATGCTTTCNAAAATTTGGTGATTTTTTCATATTTTTTACAAAAACCGATCAATGTTTTGTACTGGGACCTTTAAAAACAGTCAAATCGGAGGTACCGAAAATACTCTCTGGCATTAAAACATTCAATGATGCATATTCAATTTACTATACAACACCATGTTCATTTAACCCAATTTTTTTGAATTTTCAACAAACACAACAATCGACTATGTTAACAATGCCCGTACCTAATCGATCTATCAATATTAATCGTTTTCAATGTTCAATATGTTGTGATCGAGAAGTTCAGATTGTTTTTTTACCCTGTCAACATCTTACTTCATGTGAACAATGTTCAAAACGTATGAAGAATTGTCCAATTTGTCGAGCTAACATTAATCGCCGTTCACGTGTTTATATTCCTTGAATGATTAATTTCTTTTGCTCAAAATCTTTGTATTTTCTGTTTTGTTTTATTGAATTTTCAAATTTAACATAATTAATTATTGAAATCAAATTTTCAAAAAATATAACACTTGATTCAATGAATTATATTAATGTTTTTTTATTGTAATTTTTTTTTAATTTTGAATAAACTATAAGATTATGATTAAAAAAAATTAAATTTTAAAAAATTAAAATCAAATTTTGATCATTGATAGTAACGTCGCTAGATGGCACTTGTTTCGTGGCAATGTAAACCAAAATAAATTAAATCGAATTTGAACTTTAATTTCAATTGATAAAATTTAACAATAAAATAGACATGGCCTGATAAAAAAAGGTGCTTTCATAATGTGCGAAAAAAATAGAATTTTGCCATTTAATTTTCAATTAATATCATGCTCTCACTTTATGTGTGTAACTCGTCAATTTGGTAAGGCTTAATAGAAAAAATAGTGTTTTGTAAAATTGATTTTAACGGCCCGAGATCTACTTTTTCACTTTTTTGTACAGATATAAACTTTTCAATTTTGGAATAATGGATAATCGACATTCAAAAATTGCCAAATATTATTCATCAATGGATCAATGGGATCGAAAGCTATTCAATAAATTTACCGATCAAAATTTTCGTCATTCAGTACGTTATGTAATCTTTTTAGATATGAATGATTCATTTATAATAGTCACTAAAGATTGGCGTACATTTGTTTATGGACAACAAGTATGTTCATGGCTTTCTTTAACACATAATAGATCAAGTGTAAAAGAAGTTACAGAATTACGATATCAAGAAGTCAAACAAATCGATTGGGGTGATAAATTTTTTGTCATATTGACTGCAACTGGTAAAGTCTATTTTGCTAGCCGTAAATATTCTGATTGGGATACAACTCAAAAATTGAGAACGATATTGAATTATCGTTTTCATATGATTGCCTGTGGCTTTAATCACATGTTGCTATTACGTAATGATGGTAAACTATTCACCATGGGTAAGAATTATTATGGTCAATTGGGTAAAGTTACAGAACCATCATTTAAAACTTTGATTGATACTGGATTGTCAAATGTAAACAGAATTGCTTGTGGTTCGGATTATTGTATTGCTATGAAAGATCGTGAAGTGTATTCTTGGGGTCGTAATTCCTATGGACAATTGGGTATCAATAATGTTTCGGATCAATATTTTCCTAGAAAAATTCAGTTTAAAAAAATAACCTATAGTCATCGAATTATTGATATCATTGCTGGCGACTCTTATACTATATTTTTATATGATAACGGAGACGCTTATGAATGTGGTAATCCAAACTGTTACAAATACAACCAGACTTTTCCAAGACGAATCAATATCGATAATATTGTGGCGATTGGCTATGAAAAATTTGGTGATTTTTTCATATTTTTCACAACAACTGATCAATGTTTTGTAGTTGGACATATTGATTCAAACAAATTTGTTAAACCGAAAATACTCTCTGGCATTGAAACATTCAATGATGCATATTTACTTTACACTAAAATACCATATTCATTCAATCCGATTTTTTTGAATATTAAGCAACCACAACAATCGACTATGTTAACAACACCAGTAGTATCAACGGCAGTACCAACGCCAATACCAAATCAATCTATCAATATTGATCGTTTTCGATGTTCAATATGTTGTGATCGAGAATTTCAGATTGTTTTTCTTCCCTGTCAACATCTTACTTCATGTGAACAATGTTCAATACGGATAGATGATTGTCCAATTTGTCGAACTAATATTGATCGTCGTTTACGTGTTTATATTCCTTGAATGATTAATTTCTGTGCTCAAAATCTCTGTATTTTCTTGTTTTGTTTTCACTTATTGAATTTTCAAATTTAATCCATCATAATTAAGTATTAAAATCAAATTTTGAAAAAAATATTACACTTGATAAAAAAGGATTATATTGTTTTCTTTGTAATTACTTTTCAATTGTAAATAAACTATAAGACAATTGTGTGAATAAAAAATTTAAAAAATTCAAAAATCGAAACCAAATATTGATCATTGATAGTAGCGTCGCTAGATGTCACTTGTTTCGTTGTGATATAAACTAAAAAAAATGAAATCGAAAGTAAAATAAAGATGGCCTCATAAAATAATATGCCAAAAAATAGAATTTCATCATTTTCAATTGATATACTCTCTATCTCTTCCTATATGTGTGTTAATCTTAAATTTGGTAAGACTTAATACAAAAAAAATAGTTTAACACTTTTTCACTTTTTTTTACATCTGCAGATATAAACTTTTCGATTTTGGAATAATGGATAATCGACATTCAAGAATTGCCAAATATTATTCATCATTGGATCAATGGGATCGAAGGCTATTCGATAAATTAACCGATCAAAATTTTCGTCACTCAGTACGTTATGTAATCTTTATGACTTTGAATGCTTCATTTATAATGGTCACGAATGATCAACGTATATTTGTTTATGGAAAACAAGTATGTTCATGGCTTTCTTTAACATATGATAGATCAAGTGTAAAAGAAATCACAGAATTACAATATCAAGAAGTCAAACAAATCGATTGGGGTTGTAAATTTTTTGTCATATTGACTGCAACTGGCAAAGCATATATGGCTAGCGCTAAAAAATCGAATTGGGGCACGGATAAAAGTTTGAAAATGATATCGAGCGATTGTTTTCATATGATTGCCTGTGGCCTAAATCACATCTTACTATTACGTAGTGATGGTAAAGTATTCACTATGGGTGATAATCGATATGGACAATTGGGTAGCAATGATTTGTTGAGAAGTTTGCACAAGAACACGATGCTTGATACTGGATTGTCAAATGTAGACAGAATTGCTTGTGGTTCAGATTATTCTATTGCTATGATAGATCGTAAACTGTATTCTTGGGGCCGTAATCATCATGGACAATTGGGTATCAATCATGTTTCGAATCGAAATGTTCCTAAAAAAATTATGCTGAGAAGAACAGCCTATAGTCATCGAATTATTGATATCGTTGCTGGCAGCTCTTATACTATCTTTTTATACGATGATGGAGACGTTTATGCATGTGGTAATCCTGACTGTTATAAAAACAACCAGATTTTTCCAAAACGAATCGATATCGATAACGTTGTGGCAATTGGCTATGCAAAATTTGGTGATTTTTTCATATTTTTCACAGAAACCGATCAATGTTTTGTAGTGGGACATATTGATTCAATCAAATTCGTTAAACCGACAATACTCTCTGGCATTAAAACATTCAATGATGCATATTTAATTTACAAAATATTACCATATTCATTCAATCCAATTTTTTTGAATATTCCGCAACCACAACAATCGAAAAAGTTAACAACCTCAGTATCAAACCTATCTATTGATATTGATCGTTTTCGATGTTCAATATGTTGTGATCGAGAAGTTCAGATTGTTTTTTCACCCTGTCAACATCTTACTTCATGTGAACAATGTTCAAAAAGGATAGATGATTGTCCAATTTGTCGAACTAATATTGATCGTCGTTCACGTGTTTATATTCCTTAATTTAGTAATTTCTTTGCTCAAAATCTTTGTCTTTTCTGTTTTGTTTTCACTTATTGAATTTTCAGATTTTATCCAACATATTTAAGTATTAAAATCAAATTTTTGAAAAAATTTAGATAACAATTTTAATTTGAAATTATATAAATTTTTTTTAAGAAATATAAATCTATAGATGGCAGCACGTTTTCGACATTAATCATTTCGTGTTACATTTTTAAAAAAATATAACCATCATCATTCATGAATGAATGACATTTTGGCAAGAATAAAAAGTTTTCTTTTCACTCATTCAAAATAACAATAATTACATAACAACAATTCAAATTTTGATAATGATTATGAGATTCATAGCACCTGTATTCAATTGTTTGAAAATGATGAAAAAATTTTCCATTCAAACAAAAAACAAATTCGTTGTTCAAATATGTCTTATTTGTCGGTATTGAAATTTCAACAATCATTTTATTCGATTTGTTTGCAAAAGTAGAAGCAGAGAAAATTTCATAATTTACAAATTCATTTATCATCATCATCTGTTCATTTTTATAAAAAGAAACATTTTCCAAGTAATTAGTTGATGATAAAAGGTAACCAACCCAAAAAAAAAAATATTCCGACATAAAAAAAGTTTTTAATAAATGATAACGATTTTCAATCGAAACAATCAATTATGACATATTTTTTTCTTCATTCTATTCTATTTTGATATGTCTTGGTTCGGTTTGTGTGTTAATAGTCTTTTTCTTTTCATTTGGTTCCCATTGATCGATTGAATTATTGTGTTTTTCTTTCTTTTCTGGTTGGTGGTGTTTCTATGAACACGAAAAAATTCATTGTGGAATTTACAAAATAAGTATTTTAGAAAAAAAAATGATCTAATCATCATCATCATCATCATTATGTAACTGAAATGTAATCGACCGATCAAAAAGTAAGTAAAAAGAAGAAAACAAAAAAGAAAACTTAAAGAACAGGAACAACAATAACAAGAGCCCGTCTATCATAAGCCCTATTTTGACATATTGTGTTGGGTATTAGTTGAAATAGAAATGGTGATGATGATGACAATTATAAATAGAAGAAAGAAAAAGAAAAAACCCGAAAAAAATATTTCTTTTTTTGGATCAATATTTCTACCGTACATTCAGAGAATTCATAAAGTTTTTTCTTTGGTTAAACTTACTGAACAGGGTTTGTTTTTTTTGACCCAATTCATTTATATAATTCAATTTCTTTCAACAACGAAAAAACACGAAATGAAAATGATAAAAACAAAAACAAAAAATATGAACCGGAAGAAAAATGAAAATTTCGTTTGTTTGTTACGGAATCGATTGTTTTTTGCTTTTCTTTGGAGAAAGTAAATTATCAATTTTTTCAACGTAGTTTTGAGTGGAAAAAATTATTTTTTTAAAAAAAAGAATTTGTAATTTGTTTGTCAAATGTCAATTCCGGCGACTGAGAGAAAAAAACAAAAACCGACAATCATCATTAGCTGAAATTCGGTTAATATTTTCAACAACAACCGACATCAACATCAATAATAAATTTTAAACTTTTTTTTGAAGAAAAAAAAAATTTCAAAAATCATCCCTTTTCCCTTTCATCTATGGTACTGCTAGTAATTTTTCAGGCACCAACAGCGAAAAAATATTTACCATTTCATTTCATTTGCTGGTTTCAGCAATTAGAAAATCCAAGTTGAAAATATATCGCGAATTGAAAAATCGAATGACTTTGTCTATTTTGTGATTGGATGATTTTTGGATGAAAAAGAAAAAGGGAAAAGGAAAAAAAAATTTCATTACTGTTGTTGTTGTTGTTGCTGTTGATTAGCTTTTTATCATCATCATCATCATTTTGATATATAGAATATTATGATTCATAGAATTTATGATGACACTGGTGATGATGGTGATGAGATACAAAAACATTAAAAAAAGGCGTATACAATGGTCTGTGCAATGTGTTATTAACACAAGAGTCGGCGCCATTCACTTTATATAGGCATGATGATGATGATGAGCTTGGTGGGTATTCGGTTGCTTTTGGTTTTGGTTTAAGCACCTCCTTCGTTTTTTTTTCATAAATTTTCCTTTCTTTCGACGATTGACGAATGATGATGGTTAGAATTGAATCGCGCCCACTTTTCATCTTTACAATATGCAGAACATTAATAGCAGCAACAGCAGTAGATATATAATATTTTTGGTTTTTCATTTTTGATACGAAAACGAAGCACCAGCGAATACAAATGAATGAACAAATGTCGGTTGNTGTAACTGAAATGTAATCGACCGATCAAAAAGTAAGTAAAAAGAAGAAAAAGAAAAAGAAAAACTTAAAGAACAGGAACAACAATAACAAGAGCCCGTCGATCATAAGCCCTATTTTGACATATTGTGTTGGGTATTAGTTGAAATAGGAATGGTGATGATGATGACAATTATAAATAAAAGAAAGAAAAGACCCGAATATTTCTTTTTTGGATCAATATTTCTACCGTACATTCAGTGAATTCATAAAGTTTTTTTTCTTTGGTTAAACTTACTGGGTTTTTTTGACCCAATTCATTTCTATAATTCAATTTCTTTCAACAAAAACACGAAATGAAGATGATAAAAACAAAACAAAAATATGAACCGGAAAAAAAATGAAAATTTCGTTTGTTTGTTACGGAATCGATTGGGTTTTTTTTTGCTTTTCTTTGGAGAAAAAAAAAGAATTTTTAATTTTTTTTTGTCAAATGTCAATTCCGGCGACTGAAGAAAAAAAACAAAAAAACAAAAAACTATAGTCAACAACAACAACAGCCATTTTTTCATTTGCTGGTTTCAGCAATTAGAAAAATCCAAGTTGAAAAATTTCGCGAATTGAAAAAAAAAATCGAATGACTTTGTCTATTTTGTGATTGGATGATTTTTGGATGAAAGAAAAAAGGGAAAAAAATTTCATTACTGTTGTTGTTGTTGTTGATTAGCTTTTTATCATCATCATTATTTTGATATATAGAATATTATGATTCATAGAATTTATGATGACGCTGGTGATGATACTGATGATGATGGTGATGGGATACAAAAACATTAAAAAAAGGCGTATACAATGGTCTGTGCGTGTTATTAACACAGGAGTCGGCGCCATTCACTTTTATATAGGCATGATGATGATGAGCTTGGTGGGTATTCGGTTGTTTTTTTAGATAAGCACCTCCTTCGTTTTTTGGGGTTTTCGGTTTTTTCCATAAATTTTTCTTTCTTTCAACGATTGACGAATGATGATGGTGAGAATTGAATCGCGCCCACTTTTCATCTTTACAATATGCAGAACATTAATAGCAGCAACAACAGCAGTAGATATATAATATTTTTGGTTTTTCATTTTTGATACGAAAACGAAGCGCCAGGAATACAAATGAATGAACGAATGTCGGTTGACCGCGCGCATCGTATTGGGTGCGAAATGATGGAGCAAAAGGACGGAAAAAAACAGGTGTACCAGCTCGCCAGCCAGCCAGCCAACAGCCAAAGGAAAGAAAAAATGAATTCGAATAGTATGATTATGGCTATCATACTGATTGGGTCTGAATAATCATCCGCATCTCTTATCTTTTTTGATTGAAAAAAAAGGTAAATTTCATTTAACCCTTTCACACCCACATACACAATTATCGATGATTAATAATTTGCATATTCTTTTCCCCTTTTGGTTCAATAGATTCTTGGCCAGAAGAACAAAATATCATCACCCAAACCATCATTATCATCCAGATCAAAAAAAATCTTTCTATCTAATCATAATTATCTGCCATTCTGTCCAAATCATCAATGATAATGAATCAAATTTGAAGCAAATTCATGTGCAATAAATCAGAATGAAATGAAATAAAATTCAAAGTGCCATTCAATTCAAAAATTCCTCTGTTGTTATTTGATTGATTTTGTTGTTGTTATTCGTTATTCGTTATCGTTATCTTCTTCAGAACAAAATTTGTGCAAATTCTGTGTTTAAAAAGTCAATAAAATTCTGTTGTTTTTTTTGTTATTCAAAGATGAAAAAAAAGATGACCAAAAGTTAATTAATCGATCAAATTTTTTTTAAATCAACAAATATTGCGAGAGCTTATTATAAATCAATCAAATTCTATTCTATATGCTACAAAAAATCAACATTTGTGAAGGTATGCAAAAAATCTTTTGGTTTGTGTTTAAATGTATTTCATTTCATTTTTCGTACAATCGCCATTCGTTTCTGTTTTTGATTTTTTTTGATTTGATTTTCTTTTTTATTTAAATTCATTTTTTTTGGGATTCTTTTTCTTGTTGCAACACCACACATCAAATAGAAAATATGCCCGTCAAACAGGATCATTGTTAGAATTAGGTTTTCCAGAATTAGTCTTTGCTTGGTTCTATCATCAATGGTAGTAGCAAAAGTAGTCCCAGGACTAGTAAATTTTGATGACTAAATGATATTCAAATACTGAATGAATGAATGACATGACATGAAATAGTAGATTTGTCACGAACTGAATATCCACACACAAACACATACACTGGTATTATTAGCATCATCATATAGTTAAATATATTTACTTTAACAAAGTTGAAATTGATGCGGTAGAAACAACAACAAAATTGGTAAAGATGCAACAACAAAACGCTTCTGTATAAAATGATGATGATGATGATGATGATATAAATAAATAAATGGAATATACAACAACAACAACAGCATAAATCTCACGTTCGTTATTCGAATGTTTGTTATATAATAATAATGTGATGTCTATGTTTGAAAAATAAATAAATATTAGTAGAATAGGAGAAAAAAAAATGATGCCAATATTCCAGGATCACCCATCATCATCATCATCATTGTTGTTGTTGCTGATGTATGAATGGCTGATGTGTGATCAAGAATAAAATAAACGAAAAAAACATTGCCAGAATAATGAAAATAGAAATGAATGAATGAACTTTGTGTTTTTACAACTCTGGTCACGTACTCGTTATAAATATAAAGAGAGAAAAAAAAACAGAATTGTATTGAAAAACAGAATTCATCCGGCCAACTTATTCTTTTATCTCTCTTTTTTTCTATATGTCTAATATATGTTTGAATTTCAATTCAATTCAATGTTATGTTGATGTTCATGATCATGTTGATGATGATGCTATTCATAGTTTTGTAGAAGTGAATTTAATGTGACGACAGTAATAGTCGCAGAAAAAAAAATCTAGATGAGAAGAAAAAAAAAACAAGAAAATTTGTTTCGTATCAAGAAATAATCTACTCACCAGTCAGGATTTTTTTTTTTGTTTTCTGCATCAAATGCCGAAATTCTTGTTGTTGTTGTTGTTGTTGGTTGTCTTTGTTTCACCGAATACGAATCGATAGATAATGAAAAAATTTTTGGTGGATGGGTTGGTTTCGGATAGTTTCTACTTATTTAATTATCCATTGAAAACGAACAATTTCCGTTTTTTTTTACTTTCAAATTCGCGATTCAATTCGCGAAAATGATTAGTTTTTTTTCTTCAAATTTTTCAATCAACATTGTTAAATAATTCAATTCGAATGTTTCAGATCTCTCTTGCTCTCGCTCGGTGTTGTAAACATTCGAAAAAAAGATAACGTTCATATAAGACGTATGTTCAAGAAATCAATATCCGGCATTCGTGAAAATAAAACAATAATTTGCACGTTCGAAATTGTTGAACAAAAAAAAAAATTTACGAAATACGAAAAGAATCCAACCACATTTGCTTTTTAGCTAATTGAATTTGATCATGATGATGATGATGATGATTAGCTAGTTTTTCGTTTACTTTTTTTTCATTCAGTTTTCGTTTGGTCATAAAGTGAAAATTTTAGTTTCAATTGCATCGCGAATGGTAGAATGAATGAATGAATGAATGAAAAAAAAACTCTAAAACGTGCTCAAGTGTGATTCAGGAATTACACATTTCCAATACCAACATCCCCAAAACGACAACCATTATTATTTAGTGTTTGTGAAAGGGAAAAAAAACCAAAAAAAAAAGAAGAAAAAAGGGCGCGTACTTGGCGCGTGATGTAATAAATAATTGATATGAGAGAGAGAGGACCATCATTGAATTTGTTTAAATGAAAAAAAAAACAAAACAGTGTTTTTACATCCAACAATTCTTTACTTTACTTTTTACTTTTTTACTGATCATCAGCAAATTGTACATTTGTCAGCAGAAAAAAAGAAAATAATCATGTTACACGTTTGTTTCTTCAAGTTCTTATTTTCTATTTTTTCTTATTTGAATTTAAATTCAAATTTCTGATCCAAATAATCAATTGTTTTTTCTTTCCTGTTGTTGTTGTTGTTGGTGAATTATTTTTTTCTCAATTTGATTTGATCTGGATCGAAATAGCGAACGAATACCAATGATGTATTTGACATTTTCAAATTCTTTTTTTTTTTTTTTTTTTTTTTTTTGGTCCAATTTTTTTTTTTTTTTTTTTTCGGGCTTTTTTCAATCTGTCTTCCACAAGGGG